AGGAGAGCACTTACTCATAGCCTCTAAACCACTGGGATTTAAGTATATGTCTACACTTGGAAATTAAGGTGTGATTCCCAGCTTGAGCAGACATACTCAAACTAGCTCTCATAAAGCTAGTGTGATAAAAATAGTAGTGTAGCTGTCGTAGCCTGATAGTGGTGAGCGAAACGTGGACTATATACCCCATGAGATCCAGGTGGGTTTGTACTCAGGGCAGCTAGCCTATGGTGCTGCTTGCCACTGACCAGGCACTACTATTTTTAGCACACTAGCTCAATGAAAGCTAGCATGAGTATGTGTATGTAAGCTGGGAATCTCACTCCTAGCTCCAAGTGTAGATGTAGCCTGAGAGTCAAGCATGTGCTTGAATGCTATCACGAATCAAGGCCTTAATATGGTCTGATATTCAGTGATGCTGAATAGCTGCAACATCTCAAGTCCTTTGAACAGGTGGCGTACTGTATAACAAACCAAGCATCTGTGAATAATGACAATGGGGTCTGCAGGTCACTGGAGACACTATCCCTTATGCCACATTAAAAGTGTTCTGATACACAAGTGAAATCCAAAACAAATGAAACAATTCACTGAAGTTTTCACTTTTTCAGGAGATCTTATGATTCTATCAGTATATGCAACAGACATTTTAAAATAGAGATGGGCCAAAGTCAAAACCACCAGAGATCTAAACATCCTCAACATTTGGGGAAATTCAGATCTGGATCAGAATTTTGCAACTGCCCCTCAATTATTATGAGTCAAACCAAAACCATATATACAAATATCCCTAAATCTTGGGGGAAGATGGGATCCAAGAACTTAGAGGTAAGGCTAATGTTGCTTTAAAAGCTTTTGATTTTTTTTTAAATCATCATGCAATGTATATGGTGAATAATTTATATATATACTACATGTTATGGCAGGGGTTGCCAGATGGCACCATTACATGTAGTCTTAAGTTCTTTTTCTTATAGTTCAGGCATAGTTTTAGTCCTGCTGGTATTGTTGGTTTTGTGATGGTTTTAGTGTGAGCTGAGGCAAGCGACAAGGGAGTTTGTTTCTGCTTTAACATTTCTAACTAGAGTAAATTCTTGAGGCAGAGTTTTTCATTAGGAACTGGCCTCTGGTCTTTGAGCCGAGACTCTTGAAAAAGGGGACTGCCTGTGTGCTGTTTTGTGGCCACCTCTGTTCAATGACTGGTGTATATCTGTAATTAAAATAAGTCACACTAAGGGCTTGTCTACACTTACCGGAGGGTCCGGCGGCAGGCAATCGGTTTTCTGGGATCGACTTATCGCGTCTAGTGAAGACGCGATAAAATTGATCCCTGATCGCTCTGCCGTCGACTCCGGAAATCCACCGCGGCAAGAGGCGGCAGCGGAGTCGACGGCAGCGCGGCAGCGGTCGACTTTCCCCCGTCCTCACAGCCAGGTAAGTCGACCTAAAATACACAACTTCAGCTACGGTATTCACGTAGCTGAAGTTGCGTATCTTAGGTCGGACCCCCGCTGTAGTGTAGACCTAGCCTTAGAATATAACCAGATTCCCCACACTGATTTCTTTTCCAATGGGAAGCTGACCGGCAAGGTCCCATCTCCTCCCACTCAACAGAGGGGCAACAGTCCACAAATGCTGCAAATATGCAGTTTCCTAGACCCTTTCCTCAATTTTGCTGTTGTACATACAGAATACCTGAGTTGAAACTTTAACAAGAGTTTAAAAAGCATCTGAATATTGATCAGCAAATCATTGAACATTAATGTGAATTAATCTGATAGTTAAAATGGAAAACATTTTCTCTGGTCTTTTCTCTTGATCACTCTCTACAGTTCTCTTGACAATACAACATAAACCTAAACCTCAATTCTTTTGCTGACACTGAAGAGACAAAAACCAAAATTTGTTCCTATCTCAACATCAGCACAAGTCATATTATTAATGCAACAGCTACCAGTGAGCTGGATAATTGCTGATGTGTCCAGTTTATAGTGTCAATGAGTTTCTCACTTTTACCACTGATAATGTCAGATCCACTAATTTATAATTCCTCACATATTAGAACTACCACAGACAGGGCTGGCTCCAGGTTTTTTGCTGCCCCAAGCAACAACAAAAAAAAAAACCGGGGAGTCCCGCCGCAAAAGCAAAAAAAAAAAAAAAAAAAGTGCCGCTCAAAGGGCCGGAATGCCGCCCCTTGAAAAGTGCCGCCCCAAGCACATGCTTGGGATGCTGGTGGCTAGAGCCGGCCCTGACCACAGACTTAAAGTAGAACAATAACGTAGACTTGCTAATAGTGTTGGGTTGTGTATTCTTTATTTTAATTGAATAGTGTGTTACTGAAACCTTGTATACATTAAACTGTTTTTTGTGATTTAAAGTATGTGGAAGTAGACTCAATGAATTATTCTTTTGAATTCCATGTACCCCTTTCATATGGCTTTTTCTGAGACTGTATTTGCAAAAAGTGTTGTTCAGCATGCAGAAAATGAGTGCACAAAAAGAAAGAGCTGGAGATAGCTGAGAAAATATAGCATCCTCTGGTATCAGTACTACAGTATATGATTCCCTACCATCTTACACACATTTTATACTGATGCAACTCCAATGGAATTACCAGTCAGCACATACAGCAAGCTAGAACTGTCTAGGGTGACTCTGATTTGAATCACTGATATCTGGGATGTGATTTATGTAACAATAGCATTCAATAAAAAGTTCACTTATGATGACAAGCATATCATCTGCATATGCCACTTCTGACATATAGGAAATCTTATTAGAGAAACTGATTGGAAAGGACATCTAGAAACGTGTCTTCACTATTTCAGTTGCACATCTATCTTATTTCTTGAGCCCATCAATTTATCTTATTTCTCCTAAATTATATACTCAGGGCACATAGTGCCCTTGATCTACCCACATAACTGCCACCGATGCCAACAGGAACTCTGTCACAGATCAAGGGAAGCATATTTCTATTAGTTTTAATGATGCCTATTACCACCACGCAGACTCCTAACATATATATTTTCTCAAATATTTAGTTCTCTGATGTAGCCTGTGTATTTGCAGGATGTTAATTTACATGTTAGATGTGCAACTTTGCCCACAATAACAATATAGTTTGGAAGTACAGTGCCATATTTTATGAAGCAAATTTCACACGGCAATATACAAACACAAACATATGACAGCCAGCTGCAACTAAACAATGCTTATAAAGTGCTAGAAATATTTCCGTACATACCTGAAGAAACAATTTCCACTCACTTTCATACTGTATCAAAACCTTAGAAATTTTTAAGTAAATTCCTTTTTGGAAAAATTGTACAGCATTTAATAGAAATGAAGCCAATGGGGTTCTATAGAAATCAGTCAAATGCCTATAGAATTTGATGGAGTAATATTTTTTCTAAAAAAAATTTGGAATCTATTTTTCATATGGAAAAGAATAACTTGTGTATAACTTGTTCAATGCCACAACAATTTCAATAACATTAGTTTAAATGTTCTGGAAACTTTACATTCCTAAAACGTTACTTCATTACAGTAGAGTTGTCCTGAGCACTGGATGGCTGGCACACTAGTAAACATGCATGCTTTCACCCAATTAGAGAGCCAAACAACTCTTTCATGCTCATCTCTTTTTTCCACAGAGTATGTTGCAGTATAATCAGTTTCTCTTTTCCTACTGGCCTGATCCAAAACCCATTGTAATCAATGGAAAGACTTCCATTGGCTTTGGCTCGAACCCTATGCATTGGGACTTTTGCATGGAAGCTTGTAGCTTTTCTTTTATGATCAAACAGGATAGTGCAGAACCTCTCACCTTACCCATGAGAAATTCTACCTTAAAACAACAGATGCCATAATTGCCAACTTTTCCTTGCAGCAAGGCATTCATTCCCCAAACATTTAATGTATGTTTCCTGTCTCTCTCACTTTTGAATAGTTAAGTCGTACTTAGGAAGCTGAAACAAGAAACCTGCCCTGCAGAACAGACCAGTGGTCACAAATGTTTTATTAGCATGGATTTCACCTTAATAGAAAAACTCTCTCATGCTCCACCTTCCCTCCCATTCACAATCCTATAACATCTGTGGCAACTATAGCAATTGCCTACACGAGCAAGTAATATTAGAAAAGTGTTTCTGTGTTTTAGCTTTCCTTACCACCATGGAGCAGCTAGAAACAGGGAGAGCCAGCACCATCACACCAGTCAGTTCATTGCAGTGCAATCCCCGGCTTATATGTGGAATGGATGGAGTGCTCCTAGCCCTTCAATCTGTTCCAAAAATACATTTAATATACTGTCCTCTGCAGACTGCCAGGAAGTGTTTCATGGTCTACAGTTTGAGAAACCAGTAAAGTAGACCCACTGGCAGCAGCAGCAGAGGAAAACAGAAAACAAAAAACGCAAGAGCTTAGGAAATAGGGAAAGTTAGTTCTCCTTGTTCATAGGATCATCTGTTTTCTTTTCTCTTCTCTCCCACTGCTTTCAGTGAAGTGGTATACAAACTAAAATCTAAGGAAGCCTAAGAACAGGTCATCTGGCTCCAGCCAAGGCTTAACTCCCATCTCCCCCAGGCACTTTCACCCTTACCTCAATGAAAATGTTTGGTTGCTCACACCCATCTCTGTTAGGTCTGGCAACTGAAAAATTGGCAATGTTTGAATTTCAGGTTTTTGGGTCAAATTCATATACACCTCTACCCCAATATAATGCTGTCCTCGGGAGCCAAAAATCTTACCGCGTTATAGGTGAAAACGCGTTATATCGAACTTGCTTTGATCCGCCGGAGTGCGCAGCCCCGCCCCCCCCGGAGCACTGCTTTACCGCGTTATATCCAAATTCGTGTTATTTCGGGTCGTGTTATATCGGGGTAGAGGTGTATTCTACAAAATCCATGATGGCCATGAAATAACATATGATTAAGAATGAGGTATGAGACCAAAATCAGCCCTGGTGCAGGCAAATGGAGTTCCTTTTTTGATACCCTCCCCCTATTTCCAAAGGCTTTTATAATAAAACTAGTAACTTAAAGCCTGTACTATTGCATGGGCGTAATTCAGTGGTTCTCAACCATTCCAGACTACTGTACCCTGCCAGGAGTCTGATTGTCTTGCATACCCCACTTTTCACCTCACTTAAACTACTGGCTTACAAAATGAGATATAAAAATACAAAAGTGTCACAGCACACTGTTACTGAAAAACTGCTTTCTTTCTCATTTTAACCATAGAATTATAAAAAATTGATTGGAATATAAATATTGTACTTACATTTCAGTGTATAGTATATAGAGCAGTATAAACAAGTCATTGTATGAAATTTTAGTTTGTATTGACTTTACTAGTGCTTCTTATGTAGCCTGTTGTAAAACTAGGCAAATAACTAGATCAGTTGATGTCCCCCCTGGAAGACCGCTGCATATCCCCAGAGATACATGTACCCCGGCTGAGAACCACTGGTGTAATTCACAAAATCATGAGTGTAAAAAAAAAAAAAGCCAAAAGTGGCTCAGACCTTAAAAAGTAGATAGTAACAAATGGCAATAGTCTAATAAAAAAGAGCTCTCAAGCTTCTTTGTAGCTGTTTCCATCGCTTCATACTGAATCCCCATTTTAGGCTTCAGAGAGATGTTTGGGGTGTATGCTGGTTGTGTTGTATGGGAGGTTGTGTTGGGAGATTTGTGTTGATTTGTGCAGGTAGCAAATGAGGGGTATGAGTTGTGGTGAAGGTCTATTTGGGGTTATTGTGTATGCCAGTTGTGTTGATTTGTGGGGGGGGGGTAGTGTTGTGCTGGAAGATTTGTGTTGATTTGTACAGGTGGCATATGAGGGATATGTGCTGCAATGAGGGGCTGTGTGTGTTTGGGGTTACTACTTGCATGGTTGTGGGAGTGGCTGTGTTGATTTGTGTCTGGAATGATGTGCTGGGAGATTTGTGTTGATTTGTGTGGCTTGCAGTTGGGCCAAGTAATCCACCATCTGTGCAGTCCCCCTCATATATCCAGTTACACTGTTGCATGTAAATTAGCTGTGGAGTAAGGGTAGCGGTTGGTTGAATTGCCCCAGATATCTCAGTGGTTTAGGACTCTTGGAATGGTATAGATACATGCCTTATTGTAGCTGTACACTGCACAAGTGTAATTCATAACATCAAAATGGCGGAGAACTTAAAAATGGTTTGGTAACAGACTGTGAATCTCAGTGATGATTCAGCCTGGTGATATTCTGAACAAAAAGCCCTCTCATCCATGCTTGTTGCTGTTTCTGTCACTTACACTGACTCAACAGACATTTTCAGTTTAAGAGAGTGACATTCCTGTATTGTATAGATAGCAATAATTATTATTTTGCACTTTCATTGGGCCATCCATCTAAGGCTGTCAAACTGTTTTACGAACATAATTGAGGTAGGCATTATTGCCATTTCACAGATGAGGAAACTGAGGCACCTGGAAGCGAAATGACTCGCCCAGGTTCACACAGCCAGTCTGAATGAGCCCTGAATAGAACGCTGATGATTCTCTTATTTCCCAATCTTGGGATTTAAGCACCACACATGCTTCCTCTATATACCAAAGTTATTTGAAAACCACAATGTTTGTTAGTTGTGGAGCACCAGACTTGCCAATGCCACTGAGTCTGCATAACTGTATGCTAGTTTTTTCCTTTGGGTTTAGAATTGCGGAATACTGCTAATAAGTACTTCCCATTGTTATTTTAGGAGCTGTATACAAACTAACTCAGCCATTATAAATCCTCAGTCTTTTGCATTAAAAGCTAATCAAAGCAATGAACAGAGGATCCAGTCAATAATGTAATTCTCTGAAAGTAATAGAGAAATGATTATCTAAGTTTAGCAGACATGAGTTCTTATTGAATTTGTCTAATGTGTTTTTACAATGAGTAGTCTCCATGTACGCATTGAACTTAACTTTTATATATACTAATGGTACTCCACCAGTAGCTTATTAGTCATATGCAACTCTTTGTGGAGTTACATGCAGCACTCGTGACCTGGTCAGAATATTTGTGGAGCAGTCTTTCCATAGGCTTGACTTGCATATAAACATGTATTTTAATTTACTTAGTGGCAGCACGATGCAATGAGTTTGCATCATCATGTGACATCAATATCACCATATAGCTAATATAAAGAACTGATGCACTCTTTGGAATGATTTACTTGGGGATAGGTATGTTCAAGAGAGGAAGTATCTGGAGGTGTAAATTCCCACTCCATCAAAACTGGCTGTGCCTCTGAAGCCCTGATTGGCAGGGGGACAAACAAACAGGAACTGGACAGTGAGATGGAAGGAAATTCCACCTCAATTTCCTGTGGCAAAGTCACCTTGAAAGGGGAAGAAGGAGGACATGGCAGCATGAGCAGTGGGTAACTGTGCCTACTGTTGCTGCAGGACCACAGCAGGAGAAAAGTCAGCTCTGAGCTGGGGAACAGGTCCAGAGAGCAGCGTAACCACATGGCCCCAGTTAGTATGCGCTGCACTGCAGCTGAGAATCAAATGGAAGGAGATCCTGAATTAGTGACTGAACAGGGTGGTGCAGTGTGGCTGTGCAATACATGTTGTGTCCTTGGGAGTGTACATTGCTGCAGCTACTAGGGAGATAGCAGAGAGCAGAACTGCCAGACCCATAGGTGAGGGGCTGACCCAGGGACCAGACACAGGGGGCAGCCAAGACTCAGCAGAGAAATCTGGGCCAATACTAGGACCACGGCAGCAGATACTAAATGCAGAGACCCACACTTGGCATTGGCACTGTACAGAGACTCGAGTTGGGGCAGTTTGGATTTGGACTAATCAAGGTGACTGTTACTGATAAAAGGAGTGTTTGTTCTGAGATGGCACTGGCGTGATTCCTGGGTGAATCACATAAAAAAATAAAATAAAAGAATGAGCCAGTAGCAACTCTCAATCCCAAACCAGAAAATAGTTAGCAAAACATTAGATTAATTTAACCAGTACCTACTTTAACACAAACACTTCCTCTTGGTAGAGAGATGGGCCTTGCAGATGGCCTAAAGCTTGGCAGACAAGCACAATTCCAGACTGAGGGAGGTAGTTTCCAAAGTTGAGGGTCCCCAGTGGAGAACATCTGCCAGTAGGTCCCTCTCTCTTATACCAAGAGGGCTCCAGCTAAAGTGCATTCACCGATTACAGCTGTGGCAGTATCAGCACAGCAGTATTTATGTACTTGTTCTAATAGGTACTAATAAGATGCCTAATTATTATCTGTCAGATTATTAATGTAAAGAGAAAGTTAATCAACTCTCTCCATTTTCTGGATATAAAGGATGATTTAAAAAAAAAAACCTAAATTATCGAAGATAAGAATATATATCAAATTTCATTTAATAAGTTGATCTTTCAAACCACTTTATTATGGATACAGATGTACAAATGCTGTTACCAGAAACATTTTAATGGTCCTATAACTATATTTTATCATTCTAAAATATTTTGTCTACAATGAATCCTGAGCATGTTGATAGCAATATTTAGAAATGATTTTTCTTCAATTGATGCCTATTATATAATGTCATTTTCCTTGCTATTACTTTAATAAACAATTTAACTACATCTTTTACAACAGTAGGAAAAACTGAAAATTGTTTTGAGTATCTGGTATCTAATTTGACAAAAAAAGGTTCCCATTCACTTTGCCAAGGAGTAGTCATTTTAAAAGGCAAAACAAGAAATGTATGTTACTGTAACATTAATGTCCTACTCTGTCCCCTTAGTAATACTTTATTTCTGAAAACATTTCCTCCAACGAAAATACCATTCCAATTCAATGTTTTCAAATAATACTATCCTTTCTGTCAAAATAGGCACAGGAAAGTAGAATAAAAGATAACAGTTTTATGTCTTGATATTCTATCACTCACAGACTAGATTACTAGAGTATCCCACCAGCAATACAGTAGTCACTTTGGTTTTGAGATTCATAACTTTTCTTCAAAAACTACATTTTTGGATGGAAATGATTGAGCCTGATCCTGTGGGGTGCTGAGGGCCTTTCTCTCCAACTTATGTCAATGGGAGCAGAAAGCACTCAGTACTTCAGAATGAAGCCCTTTGTGCCTGTTCTCAGCCCAGAAGTGGTGTCTTGGTGCATGTGCGGTTTTGTTTGTGAAGGTCTGAAGAAAATCAGTCCAGCCACTTGGGAATTATCAGATAGCCGAGGGTGGAGGGAGGGAACATAGAATCATAACTCTGAATGTCCTGACTTTTGGTCCCAATTCTGCTTCCACTGAAATCAATGAAAAAATTCTGACTTGCTTCAACAAGTGCAGGATCAAGTCTTTTTTGCAGTTAACACATAATAGTAATGTAAACATTTTTCTTTAGCAGAAAAGAATTGTGGTCCCGGTTTTGTCTGAATGTCATGCATTACTCTGAAAGACATCTTTTGTGGAAAAAAATGCTGTTAATAGCAAAAAATATTCTTGCACAAGAAAATTATTGAGAATTAAGAAATGTTTTCCTGTCCTTCCCCATATATACTGGTGTCTTGGCAATAACTGATTACTCTGTGCAAGTTCAAAAACTTGTCTCAGACCAACAGAAGTTGGTCCAATAAAAGATATTACCTCACCCATTTTGTCTATTTGAAAAACAGCCTCTCACTCAAATGAGCATCTCCTGTTCCTGTAAGCATTTCTTTGCTAGTCCCCACTAGGGGCAGGGGGTGGGGGGTAATAGGAGTCTATATAAGAAAAAGACCCCAAAATTGGGACATCTGGTCACTCTAGTCCCTACTATGCTGCACAATTACCATGTCTCCCACCTTCTTTGAAATGCCATGGCTGCTACCTTGTGTCAAGATTAGTTTGCAGTCAAGATGCTGGCCATTGATTTACTTTCAGACATTAATCCAATCAGGCAAGCAGAAATAAAGCTTCCTACAGCTCATTGTAAAATGTTCTACCAGGCTTGAAAGCCACTGGTTTCTAAGAAGATTAAATGAAAGAGATAACCACATCTAGACTCTTAAATCCTAAACTAAAGCATGAGTTTGCAATTTGGTTCTTTCTTGTTACTGTACATACATGTCTAACTGCTGTCATATGCTATTTTAAGACTAAAGCTCTACCTTGTTTTTTGTATTTATGCATCAAATGTTTTCACCACGGTCTTCAATATAGCAGAAAAGGTTGCATGGCTTTTGCCAAACAAAAGCCAGCCCTCATAAATGTGCAAGACTAGCATAACCATACGATTTAATGAAACAAAATGAATTTTTTCTGTCTGGGGTAATCTATCTGCGGCTTACTGTGGCAATGGGAGCTCTAACCTAGCTTCCCAAGCTTCTTCAGGGGATGGCTTTCCCAAAACCCAGGTCCATTTGGGGTTTGTCAGGAAACTGGACCCTTTATGGAACAAGTTTCTGCACTGGACACATGTCACCTGCTAAATTACAACTTGAACTGTACCTGTTCTCTTATCCCACTGGATCCCGGAGCTGCTGTGGAGAAGGTGAAATACCCCCCCACTCCAATATGGTAGTGAGGGGAAAATGTCTTCCCTGTCCCCAAAAAGGTGGCGGGGGAAGGGCTCATGCTGGAGAACAAGGTTTATATAACCTCCCACAGATGTACAGGGGCCCTTGGATTACCTAAATCCCACCATCATGCCAACCAGCTCAGGTGATGCCTCCCCTGCCAGCCACTCTCTGGAACTCTTAATGGAACCACTACCCTTTTTTTCTGCCCACAATCTTGAGGTTGCAGGAGTTGCATTCTGGTGGTTAATAAGCAAACCTGGGCAAATACTGCAAAAAATGTTTCAAATATCTATGTTCCACATTTTTACTGAATTCATTTTAGTTGTGTTTTCATCCCTTTTTGTTTACTGTCCATGAATTTTCTGGCAGAAGAAGATATGCCAAATCAGAAAATTTTTACACAATTTTTGGAGAATAATTGCAGAAAATGAATTTTGAATTGGTAATTGTATTTGTGAGCTCCTGATTCTAAGCGTTATGCTCTCCAACCAATGATTAGAAATAAATGTATTTTGTGACAGATGTGTCCAATCAAAACTGCTCAAAATTAACATTTAACTTACTGAATATTCTCAATTAACCACTTGCAAACAAATTACAGACAACGAATTTGTCACACAAAATACTCACTAAATTATTTCAAATAATGAAAAAAATCCAGATTTCATCGTTATATTTGTGGAACAGAAAAAGGTGAAATTCAAAAATGAAAAAAAATTAGCACCCCACCATTTTAAAAAAAGTCAATTTTGTATTAAAATTTTCATTTTAGAAAAAAAGGAATTTTGGACCAAACCCCGCCCTTTTTTTTAAAATTCTGATCAGCACTAAAATGTATATAATAACAATAAACAGATACATCTGCTATGGCTGTTGACTGTATCTTTTGCTCAAATGGTAGTCACCTGCGCTTTTGGAGCTGGATGATCTGAGTTCTATCTCCACTATGAAGTTCTGGGCAGCCAAAATGTGCAGTGTAGTAATAATCAGAGTTCTAAATGGTCACTGATTAACTGCACTGGTTTTAGCAAAGGGATTTCAATTCCTAGTGAAACATTCAAGCATTGTTATAATTAGGGAAGTTCATGTAACTGCCTGGTGTATGTATGTACAGCTTCATACTACTGGATGTAATCAGAACATGCAGCCATGTGTCACAGACCCAGGAGCCCCTTAAGGGGGGGTGGAGTGGGCAGGGGGTCCAGCTCCCCTATCCCAGCCCTTGACCGGAACTGAAACTTCGGCTCAGCTGATCTCCCATCAGGACAGAAGGGCAACCAGGCCAAATTCGAGTGGTGTTGTAGACCCATGCACCTGCTTACCCCCCAACTTGCTGTCCTTCCCTCGCCCATGGAGAGAAGTGGAAAAGGGGGCACTGGGAACCCCCAGTCCCTGGCAGGATTAGATCCAGTCTTTTGGTACTTCCTAGGGAAACAGAGACGCAGGAGGAGGATGGGATTTGGGGCTCCCAGAACTGCCTGGCCCTTGATGAGGATGGTGCTCTTCAGCATGACCACCTCTCTGGGTAAGAGCTTGGGGATGGGGACGGGGCAGGCAGACTGCAGGGCTGGGTGCAGGAGAGAGAGCTGAGCACTAAGTGCAGGGCAATATAGGGGAGCAAGGGGCTGGGTGCAGAGGCAGTGGGGTGAGTGTGCAAGGACAGAGTGTATGGGGTTGTGTTCAGGGGGAGAGCACGGAGAGAGAGAGAGCTTACAGTTAGGGGCAGGGCAGGGGAGGGAGAGCTCTGGGTCCCCTTTAGAAAAATTCTGGTTGTGCCCCTGCATAGACCCGATAACTGCTCTCAGAAATTCTCCTTAAGCATAAGCAGTGAGTGGGAGCACTCTCTGCACCAGCCAAGAAGGAGGGAGAGGACCTGTGGGGGATCACTGCTCTTGCAAGCCAAGCCGTGTAGGGGGAGCCCTCCATCTGCTTTTTGCAGAAGGAGGGGAGCTGCACTCCCCTCATTTCCCTTTGCTTTAATCTCAATATCAGCTAGTAGAGATCTGAGTTTTGGAGGAGGAGGATCTAAGCTGTATCCTTGCTGTTGCCAAGAGTTACTGAAGCAGACAGTGTGCACCATGATGCCTTAGGTGGTCACTCAGTTTTGTTACCTACTGTCTGTCTCTCATTTGATGGTGAGGTATAAGGGTTGTATCAACAGGGGTTTACAATTACTCATGATGAGTGGAAAAGTCACAAGTAAGTTGCTGTATGCAGATCAACTCTTATGAGTCCCTCCCCGTACCATCATGTACTTTGTATATACTACAGAAAAAATGTTTTAGAAAGCTTTTACAAATATTTGGACTATTTTTCTATCCCTTTGGCTATAAAGCCAGGTGCCTAAATTACCATGAGTCCTGCCACAGGGGGCTCAGAAGGAGTCATATCTCCCCAAATGACCTAAAATAGCTTTTCTATGCATAAAATGTCACAATGGTAAAGTCTTGGACCTTTCCCATGCTAGAAATAAGTGCTGATTGTCTCTCATTGGGAAGCTTGGAATCTCCCCTTTCCAATGGTATGGAGCTCTTATTTCTAGCTTTATAGGGTATGATATATTTATGCATAATAAAATATGGCAATGGACTAGCATTGCATATCTTGGGACTCAGAGAGGTTAATCTGTGGGTTGGATGGATTCCATATTTGGGGAGAAAAGGAGGAAATATTTCAAACTGTACAGCCAGACGCAAGGACTAGACAACAGGGGATGGATCACTTGAAATTGTCCTGTTCTGTTCATTCACTCTGAAGCATCTGGTACTGGCCACTGTCAGAGACAGTATACTGGGCTAGATGGACCATTGATCTGATCCAATGTGGCTTATGTTCACAGGAAGGCTGATTTTAAAAACAGAGTTTGAGGCAGCTCAGAAATTTGAAATATTAGAATAATTCCCAGGAACCTGGATTAGTGGGCACAGTGCAGCTGAAGTGGTGAAAGGTGCATGATAAAAACTGTTCTCAATTGAGAGCCATTTATCACATGGATATATATATATATATATATATACACACACACCATATAAGCAGGTGATATTCATGTGATAAATTCATTAGATATTCATGTGACAAAGTCATTAGAATCATGTTTTTTGAAGTCCCATAGAACACAGATTAATGAGCAGAGTGAAGGTGATGTGAAAGCTGTATAATAAATGGAATTTATTATATGGCATTGGGCCTGATCCTAAGGGGTACTGGGCATTATTTTTATCTTTGAAAATTGTGCGTTGTGCTGAGTGCCCTCATTCCCACCAGGGGTCTTGATAGGGTTGCCAACTTTCTAATTGCACAAAACCAAACACCCTGTCCCGCCCCTTCCCCCGAGGCCCTGCCCCTGCCCCTCTCCTTCCTGCCCCCTGCTCACTCCATCCCCGCCTCCCTTCGTCACTCGCTCTCCCCCACCCTGACTCACTTTCACCTGGCTGAGGCAGGGGGTTGGGGTGAGGAAGGGGGTGAGGGCTCTGGGGAGGGGCTGGGGATGAGGGGTTTAGGTTTGGAAGAGGGCTCTGGGCTGGGGCAGGGGGTTGGGGTGTGGGGGGTATGGGCTCTGGGCTGGGGGGTGTGGGCTTCAGGTGGGGCCAGAAATGAGGGGTTCAGGGTGTGGAAGGGGGCTCCTGGCTGACGCAAGGGGTGTGGAGTGCGGGAGGGGGTGCGAGCTCCATCTGGGGGTGTGGGCTCTGGGGTGGGGCTGGAAATGAGGGGTTTGGGTATAGGAGGGACTCTGGGCTGGGGCAGGGGGTTAGGGTGCAGAAGGGGGTGCGGGGTCCCGGCAGCGCTTACCGCAGCTCCCAGGAACTAGCTGCCAGGTCCTGGCAGCCCCTAGGTACATGGGCGCTCCCCTTGCCTGCCAACCAGGAGTGGATTTACCATGAAACAATCCGTGTAGTGGCACGGGGCCCCCAACAAGGGCCCCCCCAAAATGCAGGACAAATATCTGATAACCTGCCCCTAAGTCCCGGCCAGCGGCGCAGCAGCGCTCAGGCAGGCTGCCTGCATGCCGTGGTTGGTGGCCCCACGCCACTCCCGGAAGCGGCTGGCTGTTGGCATGTCTCTGCATGCCCCTGGTGTGTGTGTGTGTGTGCGGGGGGAGGCGGCTCCACGCACTACCCCCACGCAGGGCAGAGCACGGAGACCTGCTGTCCCCCTCCCCACAAGGAGCGCGCAGAGACATGCCAGCAGCAGCGGAGCAGGGCTAAGGTGGCTCCCTGCCTGCTCTGCCTCCCTACGTTCACGCTGCTTCACTCCCGGAAGTGGCCAGCATGTCCCTGCGGCCCCTGGGTGTGTGTGTGTCTCCACGCCTTGCCCCTGCCCCAAGTACCGACTTCCCATTGACCGGAAACTGCAGCCAATGGGAGCTGCAGGGGCAGCATCTATGGACATTGCCATACAGAGACCCCCTGGCCGCCCCCTCGCCAACGAGCCATTGCTGGAGGGGTGTGTGTGCCATTCGCTTTGGGAGCCGTGCCGCCCAAGGTAAGTACCACCCCCTACCCTCCTTCCACACCCCAACCCCCTGCTCTAGCCCAGAGCCTGCACCCTACACCCCCTTCTGAATCCCAACCCCCTGCCCCAATCAAGGTACCTCTTTTTTTTTTCATTTACTTTCCATTACTTATAATATAGGAGGAGGAGGAAGGAGAAAAAATGAAAAACAGGGGGTGGGGATAAGAGAGAATGTTCTTTTTCTTGGCTGGGTCCCAAGGGGGGACCCCCAAAAATGAAGCTGTGCCCAGGGCCCCACTAACTCTAAATCCACCACTGCTGGCAGCCCTAGGTCTTGATCATTCTCCCATTATTTTTCCACAGGAATTTTGCCATTGACTTTAATGGGAGTAGTTACAGGCAGTGTATCTATAAATTCCAGCCAGGCTGGCTTCATTATTCCATAATTCCCAAAACAAACTTGCTTTGGATCTGCATCTTGAGTTGGTGGATTTAATTCCTACGGAGACCATTTGTTCTGGTAGCCAACATATAGGGAAGAGAATCATTTGTTTAATTAATCCAGACTGTTCAGATTATTTTTTTCATGATTGATTACTATTTGTATTGCTGTAGCACCCAACACAGCCAAGATCAAGGTCTCAATTTGCCAGGCATATATGAACACGTCCCCTTACCTCAAAGAGTATACACGATAAATTGAAACAAGACACTACAAGTGGGTATAATAAACATTAAGGGGGATGGGAGGACTAGGGTAATATTAATTACATCATGCAGATATATCAGCTATTGCACAACATGATGTTTTCAAATTATTTGAGAGGTTTATCTTGTAATGGATACCTGGATAATATGAATTATTTCCAACTACCCCACACCCAACTTTTGCAGTATTATTGCAATTCCAGAATTCCAAGATATGTTTAAAAAAATGTAATGTTTTTCATTAAAAATGTAAATCTGTCATAAGTGTTAACTAACTAATCACTGTGACAGAACGGAATTTAATAGGAAATCAAAAGGATTTTGATTTACTTGATCTTTAAGCACCTACACAGTACATTGATTGAACAACAAAATGATCATAATATTAAATATCAACCCCAAAGAAAGTTCAGACTCACACCCCCAATCCCTGCCCACACAGAGAATCTCAGATTCCTCCCACACAGTTCTTCAAGCAAAAGCCTGTGTAAGTAGATAGGCCTTGAAGCCTAAATACTGGGTCTGTCAGCAAACCCTCCGCTTCCTTAAAGGGTGTTCTACATTAGCTAGAGCTGTTCTACAGCAGTGTAAAAGGGTGAAATGTTGACACTAGGTGGTTATGCAATAAATGTCACTGGTAATACCATTTACTTTAGGCTAGTCTCACAGGAGTAAGCAGTTAAGAGGTGATAAAGCAGGATTAATTCCTGAGCATAATTTATGATTAAATTGCCAGTGAAGCTTGCAGTAATATTTCCCGATGCGTTTATTTCTCCTACAACATAAAACAATTCTACACTGTTCTATTTTTTCTTTAAGTGTTAGTGCTTTTTAGAGCTGTTAATACCATCAAGCATATGTCTTTTAAGCCTGTTCCCGCACCTCACCTTAAAAAAGCCAGTCAAGGTCATAGATATTTATGGCTATCCACTTAAATGAATATATTTGTAACTGGGTGGAGAAGAGTAGATTGGTAATAGATCAATGCATAATATCTTAACTGAAGAAATAATTCTTCTCTGAATTTCATTGATAAAACTGGCTCTCCTTGCGCATACAGTGGGACTGTAAAAATTGCCAAAGTAAACTTTCAGTTACAGCTGATTCCAGAACAGTAGTGGATTTTTTCTAAGCTGATTTGGAAGCAATGTGAGCTCTGAACCTTGCACCTGCTGTTGTACCAAACACAATCAAAAAGAATAACTCCTCATTGACCTCTGAAGACATAGGACCTGTTCCTGCTCCAGTTTAAATCAATAGGTGTTTTGCCAATGATTTCAATGGGGTCCAACAGGGACCGTTTTATATTGGCCGTAGAGCTGGCTGGAAATATTTAGACAAAACATTGCTTCATTAGAATTCGATGATTTGGCAAAATCAAAATATTTCACAATCTGATTAAGTTCTGATGGAATCTTGCATGGGTTCCAGCAGAAATCTGCCCACTTTCCTGCCTGGCTTTTCAGCAACCCACCTGGTGTGCTGTTGATGACTCCAGGCTTCCAGGGTCTGTGGCTCTGGGACAGCCAGACGTGTGAACTGCCTTGGGGCCAGGAAACCCAGGCCTTCCAGGACCCACAGTTCCAGGACAACCCTGCCATGTGGACTGCCTGGAGATGGGGACCATTCCCTTTTGTAGAGAATTTTGAAAGTTTTCATTTTTGTTCCTAATTGAAACAAAACTAAATTCTGAAATATCAAAATCCATCCACACAACAGAATTACCTTTCTCTGGCCAGCTCTAATTGGCAGCAAAATAACTGGTCATTTCCCCCATAGTAATAGATATTAAAGACTCATAGACTTTAAGGTCAGAAGAGACTATCCTGATCATCTAATTGGACCTCCTGCGCACTGTAGGCCACAGAACCTCATCACCCACTTCTGTAATAGACTCTAAATTCTGGCTGAGTTACTGAAGTCCTCAAATCATGATTTAAAGATTTCAAGTTACAGGGAATCCACCATTTATTCTTGTTTAAACTTGCAAGTGACACATGCCCATGCTGCAGAGGAAAGCAACCCTTAAATTCCCCCCAGGGATTCTTCCAATCTGACCCAGGGAAAAATTCCTTCCTGACCCCAAATATGGCAATCAGTTAGACCCTGAGCATGTGGGCGAGACCCACCAGCCAGACACCTGGGAAGGAATTCTCTGTAGTGACTCAGAGCCCTCCCTGTCTAGTGTCCCATCAGGTCCTATGTCTTCAGAGGTTGATGAAGAGTTATTAGTTGATTGTGTTTGGTTCTACAGCAGGTGCACGTAAAATTAATTCATAGTGTCATACAATATTTTTCCTATCAAATGGAGCTACTTTTCTAGCAGCCCCAGTTAGCGCTGATGTAAGTAAGGGTATTTCAGTCTGATTGTGACTAAGTAAATGTATAGAATTATATGAAAATTGTATACATTGGATCACATCTCCTTCCCCAAACCTGTCATATGCAATTTGTCTTCTTCTATTGTAAGCTCTTTAGGGCAGGGACTGATTTCACATGTGTTTGTACATAACCTGAAGAAGAGCTCTGTGTAAGCTCAAAAGCTTCTCTCTCACCAACAGAAGATGGGCCAATAAAAGATATTACCTCACCCACCTTGTACAGAACCTAGCATAATGAGGTCTTGATCCAGACTGGGGCCTCTGGATGCTACAATAACAAAACAGACAATAACTAGAAAAAGCTATTTGCGAATGTGCAAAGATGATATAATATGGGGCAAAGGCATTTTGTAATATGGAGTCAGAGGAATGTGTGCTATTTTTCAATGGCTCAAATTATCAAACTCTTAACAACACGTGTACACGTTAAGTTACAATGCCATTACTATGGCTTTAAGAAATATTATCTGACTTGTTTTTAATTAATGGTTCTTTTAATAAGATGATAGATCTGTTCTGACCAAAGGTGTTAAATCTTCAGTCTTCCTTTCCCCTTTGTAATTAACACTGGTTATATGATCTAAAACTTTGTGGGTGGCCATGATGTAAGAGCATTTATTTGTCTCACATTTTTATGCTGCCACATTTAGCCTGCTAACCCAGGGGAATACATACAAAAACAAGATAATATGAAGGTGAAAATCACTATAATCATTGCTCCTCTGAGGATCAATTAATGGTAGATGCTATGAAAAACTGAGAATAATATCTATTTAATGGTTCCAACTGCTGCCTAGAAACAGCTAGTAAGAATCATGTGCATCAGTGAGAATCCTAAGGTTTAGCACCACTCCAAAGTCTTTAGTGCAACTTTAGTAGCACCATATATTGCTCTCTGAGCTACCGCAGTGATTTACATAGAAGTTTCCCCAATTCTTTTTAAGACAAATACAAGCAGATAAAGGTGTAAACACAATGACTAAGTCTTGATCAGGCCAGAATTTGGCCCACTAATTTTAATGATGCAATATTTGCACACTGTGAGGAAAATCCAGTCTCCTCATTGTGTAGGCATGCAGGATCCCAAAGGCAGTGGGACTGGTGTGTGTGGAAGGGGAAAGAGGCGGGCTGGCCAGCTGTGGAAAGGCTGAGGGAGGGAGATTCCGAACTCCTTATGAATCACAAAATAGTGCTTCACGAACTCTCTCTCCATTGTCGCACTAGAGGAAAGGGAGCAAGCTGGGATAGGGTAGGTTCATGGCTAGAAGGTCTGCAAACTATGTGGATTCACTGGTGAAAAGTGCTGAGTAAAGTAAGCTCAGCAGGCCACAACAGTAACTTAAACACAAAACTTTAGTAGGTGCCACATTTACTCTGGCTGTGCATGGTGACTAAGGCTTGGTCTACACTAAACCCCCAAATCGAACTAAGGTACGCAACTTCAGCTACGTGAATAACGTAGCTGAAGTTCGAAGTACCTTAGTTCGAACTTACCTTGGTCTACACGCGGCAGGCAGGCTCCCCCGTCGACTCCGCGGTACTCCTCTCGTTTAGCTGGAGTACCGCAGTCGACAGCGAGCACTTCCTGGTTCGACTTATCGTGTCCAGACAAGACGCGATAAGTCGAACCCAGAACTTCGATTGCCAGCCGCCAAACTAGCGGCTGGGTGTAGACATACCCTAAGATTTTACCGTAAGCAATTATATATCGGATCCAACCTGGTAATATTGAATAGGGTAATTTTTTTCTAGTATAATTATCTGAAAGTAGGGCATTGCCTAAAGATATCTGAAAATTTCACTTGTTAATTGCATGTCATTTATAGTGCAATTATTGCAATTTACTGTAATGTGCCAAGTCTTTTAAATCTGTATAGAGTGCTGCACCTCTTAAAGTAGCATATGTGACACTGAATTTAACCTATTAAGACTTTTCAAAACAAGAAAGTCAGCAATAAGATCATTTCAAACCATGTCTCACTGGTAAAAATAATTTATATTTTAAAGATAATTTCTCTTAATATGCAGATGCTTATTTAAAACTGGCTAGTACATAACTTTAAGCCTATTTGTCAAGAATGTTATTCTCTCTGAAACAGATGTCATTTCACAACATTTCAGTGCCACTCAGTCTGTGTGTCATCCATTCACAGCACTTCCAGCCCCTTGCTGGCCTGGAAACCAAAGACCAAGGTTGGTTCTGAATTGTGATGTACTGCTACTACACTACTAGGTTTGCCCTTATGTTCATATTTTAATCATCCCCTTGTACCTCCCCATTTGTCTGTCCACTTTTGTTCTGTGTCTCTTCTCTGATCTCTTCCCCCTTTTATCTGTCCTCCTTCCTTCCCCCTCCTGTTTGTACATCCCTGCAGAGCTCACCATGCTGCTCAGCAGGTTGTGCTTCCCCAAAGGCAGAATGGAACTGAGGAGGAGGATTATCACAATTTTTCACTGAGCACTGTCGGTATGTTTGGTGCTGTAGAAAATACTAAGGACCACATAGGCTTCACCCCCAAGGAGCTTGCAATCTGTACCATTCTCATCTGGTTCACTAAATTGTTGTTAGCATGCCTTTGCCCACGTCAACTTCTGCCAGATTTTCTTAACCTGTATTTTTTTTTAAAGGGGGCAGGGATATTTAAATTTAAAGAACAACAGCTGGAAAACACAGGATTAAAGTGAACCCACATTAAATTTAAACCCCTCAGCATGCAGATGTTCCTGTCTAGATGCACAGATTTACACAGATAATTCATACAACAAGAGAAGACTACACCACAAAAAATGGCTTTCTGTTTGCACTTCAGTGCTCACAATCTACTGATGCCACCTATACGTCTCAGATCTATGTGAAACTCAAGAGGCACCTAAACAATATGGTGACACAAGCATTAGAAATATCCTTGAGAAAGACTAACAGGCAGACAGACAATTTCATACGTAATTAAGACCTATTTTTAATTTGATAGGAGATATTCATATTGATTTATATTTAAACACCAATAGGGTGATCTACACCATTTCTATGCAAGTAGCTAGACGGACAAACAAAATGATTTAAGACTAAAAATACACCAGTTGACTCAGAAGATTGTTCTTTATAGGATGAAATTCACCCTGTGCTGTATACACTACTTACGCCCTGCTTTAGCCTTAATTATGAGGGCTCCTGCAATGGGGTGAATTTCCCTCTTAGAGCATAGCAAGTTTCTTGCAAACTTTTACTGAAAGGGACTGATAATCAAAGTATTGCCATCTACTTCAACAGGACTTTTAAGCTTTTCAAATATTTTTCATCTGTCATGACCATCTAGATGTTTTACTCTTTGAGGTTGAGATTTGTTGCTAAGCCACTTAACCCTTCAGCTATCCAGCTTTATGATTCTTTATTTAGACCTCTCAGAACTCTGTTGACCTGCTGTCAGATTACAATAAAGTCTTAAAGATAAATACCATAGACAACAGTTTTCTTGGCTGACCACTTTCCCATTTACCCATGGTAGAGCTGGTACTGCACATTTAGAAGAAACAACAAAAAGGAATAGGAAAATTATCTAGTGAGTCTTGCAAAACCCAAAAGCATGAAACAACCTTTGCAGTTGGAGTGCCTGAAAACACCCTTAATCACTATCTAGTGATTGCAAAAAGCTGTCTCACTATTCCATGCCCCACAGAAAAACATCAAACAAAAGCCAATTTTGCATTAGGGACAATTACATTTGTTGCTTTTGAATATAAGTATGGTAATTTTATAATTTTTTTACCATGGCACTTTTCCTATGGAGGAAGGGATAGTATGGAAGTAAGGCAGTTCTGCCTTCAAAGATCAAGAATACCACCTCTGCAGCTCTTCTAATCTCCATTGGTTGGGGAGTAAGCATCCATGTGCCACTGAGATTAACCACTCAATAAGTATTCTTATTCTCTGCTTTAGGAAATGATTGTACAAAGTGAACCCTTTAACATTTCTATAGGAGAGACTGCTGCATTTTCCCTTTTTTTCCCCATTTAAAAAGCAATGCAAAGCAATTATCTAACACTTTAGATTAATGGTAAATAAATGAATGCAGAATTACAACAGGATTCTTATTGAAGCACTTACTATATGACAGCCCTGTTATTACCAAATGAGTTAATCCTGATAATTTTTTTCATATGAATACTAAATGAATTGATAATTAATAGATTATTATTTCAAAGTTTTAATAGAAATTTCCAAAGTCTTTTACAACCTGACTCATACAAATATGTATCTATTCTCTCAGAATCCACTTTCCCAGTCTTTTCACAAATCTGGTGCAAAGCTAACTTCTCTAGAAAAAAGTTGACAATTTTATGATTCTTTAATACCCATTTTACTTTAGCTATACATGCACATGAGTGAACCACTGATGGAATGCACAAGCTGAAATGGGTATGGAGTCAGCTTTAAGAAAATGAATTAACTATTCAGATATAGTAAATGAGTGAACTTTGCAAAATGGCTTTTGTCTAATTAGTCAAGTCTATCAAGAGTACTTTAGTGTGCATTCAGAACATTTTATTTGGCTTTCAAATATTTTATTCTTCTGTTCAGTAAAGAATAAATAAATCCTTATGATATATGTACAATACACTGTTACTTTATAGACTGAAATAGACTGACCTGGATAATCCAAATCAATTGACAGATTCCATTTTTATTTTGATGAGAGAAAAACTTCAAATAGTATATAGATGTTGTATGACAGGTTATAACATCATATGTCTTGTATAAGAAGATTAATAGATAAGGTAACCATGGACTGATTAATTATGAGTACTCTATATACTGCAGCCACTTCCTACAGAAACACGTTTAGTATAAAATATGATTGTCTTTATAATTCCTTACCAGAGAATTCATTCTTAAGAAGCAGACATATTTATACAACTTTTGAAAGGCCCTTTATTATTTAAGGCAAATAGCTGTTTGCTATTTTCCTTCCGTTTTTAATTTTCAAACAGAGATGTAGAGAGAGAAAGTTGACAGCTCTGTTTGGGGAAAATGGATGGAATACAAAGGCCAAAAGGAGTCTCTTTATATATAAACATTATTATATATATATATATGCTAAAGCTGGTCAGAAAATGAAAAACATTTCACTTTCCCTCCCATTTTCATTGAATGTTATTTTGATGGAAATTTTTCTGATCATTTTCTGTCTCCAGTCCCACAACTAACACCACCTAAGTGGACTGCAGTACCATGTGAAGCCCCATTAACTTAGTTGGCATTCTGCACAGGTGCACCAGTCTGACTGTATGCTGTCAGCAGCAGGATTGGAGCCCATACGTATATCTATCTGTGTGTATACAATACACTCACAGGTATACAGAGACATAGAGACATCAAGATCATCATTTTTATTCTGTTCCACCATTTTGTGGCTGCTGCAAAAACACACAAAATGGTGGCTAATTCTATCATACTTTACTGAACAACATAATTTTAACTAATGAAAAAATGTGACTGTATCATCTCTGTGTAAATAATCCCCCCATGCCAACATCTCATGTTCATATACAACTAGGCTCTCAGTTAAACCCCACCTAGATGACAACATGCAAAGTTTGCACAAGAATTCTAAAGCCCTGAGACAAAATTCCACACTGCCTACATGCAGTATTTATGAATTCAGCTTTCTAATTAGCTTAAATACCTACTTTTTAAAGACTCTCTCTTTATAGTTATCTTCACCAAGTTGATGATAACCAGATCCATTGAATACCATTGCAAACATCTCCAGCTTTCATCACAAGGCCCAAGTATGAGGCTTATAACTGTAGTATGTTCAGCTGATAGATAACGTGCAATAAAGATATTTGTTTAAATTAAAGGCCCAGCCCTATACCATTGTAATCACTGAGATGTTGCAAAGAAAAATGAACAGTTAATTCATATAAAAATTATTAAAAAGTGATGAAATCGTGTAAATCCAAATAACTGGAAAAATAACCAATCTGTTCTACAGATAAATTTACAAAAGATGTACTTTTGTATATTGTTCCAAATTTGTTTACTTGTTCCTGGTGAAGAAAGTGCTGTGGTAGTCATAAAAAAGGCAGCATTTGCCAAGAGATACTAAAGCTACTGTCTAATTTAAGAGTATAGGGGGAAAACTGTAGTATCTCAAACACCATGATATGGTAAATGTTTGCTTGGACTATTATGGAGTAAAAAGCTACTGGGAGTAAATAAGCTTCAAAAAGCTATTGCATGCCTTATTTGCCAGTTGATTGGTATAGTGGACTATAATGGAAATCACAGAAATATTTGGGAAAACCTAGAAACCTCCATGTCACATATATTTACCACATCAAGGGCCCTTAAGACAGAAGCATTTCAGATTTATATACATATTAAAAAATAACCAACCTTTTGTTCAGAATCTGCCGTTGTTACCTTCTCAACTTTGTTCCTGTTTAAAATTTTTTTCACACATTCTTCTACTTGAACGTTGAATTTCATGAAAGTCACATAACAAAAATAAGCTATCAGTAGTGTTAAGCTCTCCCACCACATGATTAAATTATCCAAAAAAAAGATTATTAGCAAGATCAAGTCCATGATATAAAAGGACACATCCCTAAAGAGCGGCCACCAGGTAAGGTTCAAGATCTCTCTAGAAAATAAAGCACACATTCCAATAACAAACAGGATATTGAATACTGCAGATCCTACTATTGTTCCAATGCCAACATTACTGTGAGATATAAAGACTCCTATCAAAGATGTGAAGAGTTCTGGAGCTGAACCACCAGCAGCCATGAATGTTGCCCCAGCCACGTCATCAGATATGGCTAGCTTCTCAGTGATGACAGTCAATGAAGGAACAAAGAACTCATCACAGACTATGGCTAAGGCTATGAACATATAAATCATTCCCATGATATGGAGGATTACTGCCCCCCTTCTTCTTTCTGCAAGAGAAAAAAGGTCTTTTGGGTACTCTCCCTTGGAGTGTTCTTCTGTTGCATTATTGTGTTCAGTTTCATATTTCATAGAAATAGGTGAATCTGGAGTGCCATTTTGATTCTGTTCCTTGACGTCCAACAGAGTTCTTTGATGCCCATGCATTGACTTTTGGCTACCTAGACTACTGGTCATCTCTGTGCTATGTGGCTCCATCTTGAAAAAGGCACTAATTGAAAGAGAGAAAGTGCTAATGGCCATTATACTCATGAAAAGACCTATTATTCGTATCAGTCTCAGTTTTTTCCTGACATTCTGATGTCTCCTACACCTAAACAGTGGTTCCTCCAAACACCATTCTTCAAGGATACTTGCAGCAATGTTTTTAGAGAGAGCCATTTTTTGTTCTCTGTAAGATGTTGTGGCCCAGAAATTCAGTATCAGACAGACTGTTCTTTCATACTTCTTCCTGATTTTAAAGCTAAAGGTGCTTTCACGTGCTTTTCCAGAATCGAGTACTTTTATGCTTCAGATGAAGTATATTCGTCATTCATGCTTAAAAGGAAAAACAATTTTTATTAATATTATAACGTGATTAGAAACCTGACTTTTTAAAAGATGTTTTACTGTACATGATTAAACAAAGAGTTTAATACAGAATATTAAACATTTTTCCTGTGACTGTAGCAGTTTTAATTGCCCACTTCCTTTTAAGTAGTCTCCTGCAACATGTGTTAACACCTTACACTTATCGATCTATCCCACACATTTAGCTGTGACACTCTGGTTACCTTTTCCAGAACTGAAAAAAAGTTGTGTGAAGCTCAAAAGCTTGTTTCTTCCATCAACAGAAGTTGGTCCAATATAAGATATTACCTCACCCACTTTGTCTCTCTTATAGGCTGGGACCAACACGGCTACAACACTGCAAACACAAATTGTAATGTAGTGTCATATTACATCCAATCAAAACTAAGCTTTCCAGCAGACACAGCAACAAAATGTTTGTTTTAATACAAAAATAAATTCTGCACAGGAGGAAAATCCCGTGGATAAAAATCCATCAGTAATCCGACCATTTCATGCCATTCAGAACTAAGTCACTCATAGCAGATGACAAATAATTCCAGCGGAGACTAAAAGCTGTCCCCAAAGTATATGTAAAAATGAATAAACTATTGTGTTAGTGGATGCTACTAAAAGTATTCCTTTTCTTCATTATTTGTCACTCTGATTACTCAATGCCTAATTCCCAAATGTGAGAAAATATATATATATATATATATAAATAAAATATTAACCTAGGGACAAATATGGTCCTATTCAGACCTATTTGCAGCTCAAGCAGTTTTAATTTAAACGTTACATTTAAATTAAACAATCCTGCAACAATCATTGAATTTTAGGTAGGAATAACTCTAGTGACAATAGGATTGAAATAAAGATTAAATACATCTATGTCTTCTTTATGTCCCATTAAGACATGGACTTAAAGTTCCCTGAATTCAAGACAAAGGCTCCCGTTGACTTCAGCCTGCTTTGGATCAGGCCCTAAAACACCATAAAGTGTTTGGACTACCGAAGATAAAAATATCATTTATCAATATTTTTTCTTTGTTTTTTGAAAAGTAAAAGCACACGTGACATATATCTTTTAAAAACTTAAGTGCCCAATCCTGCAAACCCTTAAGCAAATAGTCTTGACTAACACAAATATTGCCATTGAAGTGTTTGGGACTATGTGTGTGAGTAAGAACATAAGAAAGAGTTTGGAGTATTGGGCCATTAGTGTGCTTTAACACAGAACAACTACTGTGAATAATGGCTGTTTAAATTAATTAATTTAAACTTTTTTCAAAGGTATATTTTAATACAGAAAATGATGTATACAATCATTAGATATTTTATGCTGTAAGCAATAAAAATAATTAATATTACGACTGTATACTGAATATGCACATAGAAAGACTTTATATCATGCCACTTATTCAGGACATTAAGGTATAACATGTCTGATTATTACAGATTATATGAAATGTTAAAAATAAATTTAAAATACTTTTAAAAACCAGTGATTACTGTCTTGTTAAATATATAATTTCACATATTATCCATATTTATGCACACAGCAGTTGCACAGTCAGATCCATTTTTTCTTGATTTTATTAAAAAATTGTTCCCATTGCCAGATGATGCCAGGGATATAAAATTTTGTCTACAGCCCATAGGGGAGATATTTTATTTTCCATTTTAGATTGACTCCCCACCAGTCTGCCACAAATAATATTAAACAGTCAAGATAAAGAAACATTGTCAGTGGCTGTGCTTGCAATTTACACAACCAATGATCAAAATAGCTCTCTCTTGAGATATTTATAAAGGGAAATCAGAAATATAATTCTAGATGTGTGAACTGAGTGACAAAATACACCCTGTACCTCCCCAGTTTCGTTAATTCTACAAAGTACTGATTAGATCGATGGACAGACACACACATTGAAGAGATTTGAGCCCATAGGATAACACATATCTGCACATAACATATATCTAGGAATACGAAGGGTAAACCCCCTTTGCACTGACTTTCTTTTTTAATATATACCCTTCCTCTGGGTCATTGCAAAGATGTCTCAGACACACACATAGATACCACTAACTGAGTTCCAACTTTGCAAAACTTTTCCTTTCTCCAACCCCCCACCTCCACCCCAGAACACCCAATCTCAGAACAACACTTCATATAAAGGGCGAGGTACTTGGGGAGGGGGTACGATTTCCTGATTTCTCCCCCACCTCAAGCTTCAGCTTCACTGCTGTGCACCTGCACCATCTCCTTACATCTCATGTGACATCACAGAGCACCCCATGATGGGGGCTGTGTGCTGGGAAATATCTTGTCCCATGGAGGGGGGCGGGGGCAGCCCCACTGAGGGCAAGAAAAGCATTTGGGATGGGTTTGCCTGCTCTGGGGAGGAGGTGCTCCCTCCATTTGGGTGGGTTTGCTTAATTTAGAAGGGTAACCAAATGGGGGGCGGGATAGGGAGTGGGGCCCCACAAAGAAACCATTTCAAAGGAATGGGGGGATTAGATACCAAACGATCAGTGTGGGGGGCAGTTCTACCCCCTTTCGGTCCCCCCCATTCCCTACCTCTGCCAAGGGCCAACGGGAGGGTGAGGGGATTAGCCCGGAACCCTCCCCGCTCGTCCCCCCCCCGTGCCCCTTCCTCCCCCCAGCTGCCGCCGCCCCAGCCCCAGCGCGGGCCCAGCACTTACCGGGGTGCGGCGCTCTCCCTCGCCGGGCTGGGGCAGAAGGTGGTTTGCATGAGTGAAGCCCGCACGGCGCCGCCGGTGTTACAAGCCGGGACCGGTCCCCTCCCCTGCTGGAAGTGATGGGCAAACAAGGGAGTAGTTGGTGCAGGATGCTGCTGTCAGCCGGCCGCCGCCTCTTACCCGGCCAAGTGAGAGGCTGAGCTCCGGGTGAGACTGACCTGTGCCAGCTGCCCAGCATCCACTGCCGGCCCGTTCTCCACCCTGCTCCGCTCTCCTCGGCCTCGGCCACTCCCTCCCTCCCCTCTGCCTATCCGCTCTGCCTCCCTCGCTCTGGCACAGAGGACACAGTAAGTCAAGGAGCGGGAGGCTCCCCTCCCACATCAGTCTGTAGCTGCAAGCAGGTGAACATGTGCCTAGCTATATGTGCCAGCTGAAGGTTATGACACAAAGTCACAGGGACCCACCGAAGCCTAGCAGCTCAGTGTGTGATATACATCTCTGCACTATGGAATGAGATTTCCCTGCCTATCAGCCTGTCCTATTTTCTTTCCCTCTCCTGCCTCCCCCTTCATCCAATGAAGTTAGGGATGGTGAAAGACAGGGCCATGGAGACGTCTTTCCCAGACCTGAAGAAGAGCTCTGTGTGGTTTGAAAGCTTGTCCCTCTCACCAGGAGAAGTTGGTCCAATAAAAGATATCACCTTACTTACCTTCTCTTGCTAATATCCTGGGATCAACACAGCTAAAACTATTCTGCATACGGCCATAGAGACTGGTGTCTTTCCCCAACCTGCAAAAATTTCCCCGTCCCATCCTGAACTGGGAGGAAAAGACAGAATCACAAAATTTTTCACGACCCAAAAATATGAAGAACATTTCGGTTTGGGTCAGTCAAAAAGATTTAATTTTAATAATTTTGAAATCTTCCATTTGTTTTTGACCTTTCCCCCTTTCACCATTTTTTAGTCTACATTTACTAAAATTTCAAAATAAAGTGTCATTTTGACTGAAAAAAATGAAACTTTTCAGTTTGAAAATGTCAAAAAAGGACGTTTTAACAATTAACAAATATTCCAATGGGGGTGGTGGTCTGGAGATTTCTTGAAACCCACTGTTTTGCAATAGTTTCTACTTTGACAAATTGGCTTTTTTTTGGGGTGGGGGGTGGGGTGGGGGAATAGCCTGTCAAAAAATTCCCAGCCAGCTTGACTTAAGATCGCCATCCACAGAACAGGTCCAGCACAAATAGTGGCAACATGAGCCATCCCATCCCATCAACATGCCTCAGCTCTAACTGCAGAAAAACAAGGTGAAAGGAAAGCTCTCTGCAGCCCATTAGTTCTTGGCCTCTCTGTTGAGACTGCCTGCTCAATGTAAATTGCAAGGGTGATTTGGAGTTGTGGATGCTGGATCAAGACTATGACATTTCCTTATTTCATATAGGCCACTGGATAGCTACTGGTAGCTTGTTTTGTTTGCTACTAAAATAGGCTGAATTTGAGATGTCAATGTGATTAAGAGACAGATTTTTAAAAGGTATTTAAAAAATGCCTAGTTCCTTTTTAAATTAATGGGAGCGAGGCACCGACATACCTTTAATGATCTGGCCCTAAGATCAATTATTATTTTTTTAGAAATAGGAGTTCTCACATAACTGTACTTAGCTGTCTTCTCCTTCTGTTTCACTCACGGATGCCACAGTCCAGTAGTCTGTGCTATCACATTTCAGTCCCATGGAAGCCATTCTGTTCACAGAAGTTCACAGACATGAAATTGTGTGGGGTTACTGAATGAGTCACATGAAATGGGGAAGCCTGATCACAAGGGAGACTTCATTAGACACACCAATATCTTGGCAATTATCCAAGCTAGGATGAAAAATATAGAAAAAGTATATTATAGGATTATCAAATTGAGCTCAATTAAAACTTTTTTTGAAGCTTTGTAAAGTGACTCGATTTCCCGTGTAATATTTGAATATTTAGATAAAATTGTGATTACTTACATTTAATGAGTGATTTTAAACTTGAATCAGGCCCTTCATTTATAAACTCTTTGGGGAGGACCTTTTCAAAGTTCCTACTATATTTTGTGCACTATATAAATAAATAACAACAATAATAATAATAA